GAGACAGGGTCTCACTATGTAGTTGAGACTGTTGAGACTGCCCTGGAACTCACTATGTAGCCCAGGCTGGTCTCAAACTCACAGCAATCCTCCTGCCTCAGCCTCCCGAGTGCTGGGATTGCAGGCAAGCATCACCACACCCAGCTTTCCTGTGACTCTTAAACCATTCAAGAACACACACATTCCTCCAACACACATGCACCATCCAGTGACTCACAATCCTGGCTGTACCTGGAGTAAACTTTGTAAAAAGCTGATGCTCAGACTCCATCTTCAGAGATGCTGATATATCTGCTCTGCTGTTCACGGGGGGAAAAAAGCGGGAGGAAAAAACCTCTCCAGGCAATACTAAAAAGCTTCTGACCTACACCTTTCTTCCTATCCTCTCAATTCTGTTGAGTTTCAAAACATATGGAGAGTATTATACATCACTAGGCACTATAAGTAGGACTTTGGTACCCACTCAGGACTGTAATTAGGGAGGGCAAAAGTGAAAAGATCAGCGTGATTCTTATGATCCACAGGTGAATCTTAGGCACAAAGAAGGCGTTCAAAGGTCTACTCACATGGTCTGATAACCAACTGTAAGTTGAATTTGCCATCATTCATTGGGCCAGGGTGTTGGACCCGGCAGCAGTAGGTTCCACCGTCACCTAGAATCACATTCTTTATGGTCAGGGACACATCTCCTTCGTAGAAGTTACTCTGTACCTGGTATCTTTCGGATGTCCTATATGTCACACGTCTTCCCTTAGTTCTGAGCAGCACATTTGGACAGTCAAACGTGGGACAGGATCCCTTGCCCCAGCACACAGGCACAAGATTCCCTGAGGAGGCCAGGTGGAAGGTGCAGGGCAGCTGGGCATTCTGGCCCAGCTCCACTATGTATTCTGCTTCCAAAGACCCTGGGGAGGGAAAGAGTGTGACATCTGAAGTCAGCACATTTCAGAAGACTGCGGTGATGCTTTACAGAGTAAGGATGAAACCACTGCTGCTGGCCTGCTTGAAGGACGAGTGGCCGTGTCAGTGATTCTCAGATGGAAGAGGCATCAAATCCACAGGGAGGCCCTGCCTCACGTGAATTGTGAGATTCGGCCTCTCAAGTTTCTGGCTCAGCCAGTCTGTGGTGCAGCATAAACCTTGTATTTCTAACATTTCCCAGGGTGAGAGTCCTGGCCCCTCACTCGGAGAACCACTGTCCTTGGAGAGAGCTGTAGATTAGTTCTCTAAACAACAGAGGACACAGCTGATGAAAACTAGCAGTAAGGAAAGGTCATTATCAACCAGGAGCATTTTACACACACCATCAAAGGATGGCTCCCCTAATGTACACCTCTCTCTCTCTCTCCCAACAGAAGGAAGATGGGCTTGGTGGTATAGGCCCGTGATCCCCACACTCTAGCAGCCTGAAGTAAAAGAATTACAGGTTTGAGCCTAGCATGAGCAACAAGCAACGTAGCATTTTGGGGTTTGTGAGCAACAAGCAACCTAGCATTTTGGGGTTTGTGTGTATGTGTTTGTGTGTTGTATGTTTATATATCATTTGTTTGTTTTTTTAGAGACAAGGTCTTATTTTATAGCTCAGGTTGGCCTTGAACTCACCACGCAGCTCAGGCTGGCCTTGAACTCAAGTTATCCTCCTGCCTTGGTCTCCTGTGTGGTAGGATTACAGGCATTTGCTACCACACGGAGCAATGTAGTGATTTAGCAAGACCCAGTTTCAAAATTTTAAAAGTTCAGGATGTAGCTCACTGAGAAGGTCCTGTGCTCCATTCTGAGAACCAGGATAGAAAGACAGAGTCAGAGAGAGAGACACACACACAAAGATAGAGGAAAGAAAGAGACAGAGAGAGACGGAGACAGAGACATGAAAAGAATGCACACCAGGGAAAAAGTGAATAAAAACCTAAAACCCTTGGCCAAATAAGAAGCTTGCGTATGCAAAACCACTCACAAGTTGTGTTGAAGTTTCAAAGAGTCCTTCATAATACACACACATACACACAGATCTGCCTGGTAAAACATTCAAACAGTAAAATTGGCGTATGAAAAGTACAGCCCCCTCTCCAAATCTTTCCGTTTCCCTGCTTCCCCTTCCTAGAATCTGTATATTAGGAAACGTCCATGCAGTCCTTTTTGCTTACAGTCCACGCACATGCACACAGAAGTCTGGTGTATGCGTTGTTCTGTCCCTTGACGATTTTACAGCGGTGTGACTTACAGGCGTTCTGTATCACCTTGTTCAGTCAGGCTCACGGTTTGCATCATGGATATACCACATATATATATCCACCTACTCCCCACTGATGGCCGCTTGGGTGCCTTCCAAACGTGAGTAAACAAAACTGCAATGGCCAGCTTTGTACTGGGCTCTGGTGCTCCATACCACGCCTTTCTCCAACTCTAAATGTCCATTCCCACCCGCACTTACCTGTCAGCAGGAGTAGCAACAGCAGCAAGACACACTCAAAAGAAAGATGTGAAAACATGGGTTCTCCGGATGGAAGCACAAAGGGTGACTGCAGAAACCCAGTTTTAACTCTCCAGTTGAGCTGGGTACTTCTCCAAGTATCTCCGTCACCACAGTCCCCTGAGGGGTGGCCACTCCCACAGAGTCGCAGCCAGCACAGCGCACTGTCTGACCATCAGTGATTTCTATATTAAGGCTGCTAAGTCTACGCTCACATCCAAGGAAGCCTCAGTTTCTGTAATGCTACACCGCACATATCCGGTCACATTCTGATGTTTAAGCTGCTTGCATCAACAAGGAGGAAGCAATATTACAGTGAAAGAAAAGTGTTAGTCATGGCAAGGAGAGAGAACTCTTTAACACTTCAGAGGAAATGGGTCTGAAATGGACCAGGTGCAACTCTGTGTGGTTATAAGGGAACCTAATATTCAAACATATCCTCAGGCATCCGTTGAGTCCAGTCCATCTTGCCCAATATTCATGGGACATCTACTTTGAGCCTGGCCTGGAGAACAGAACAATGAATGGTGCGGTTTATCCTCACACTTGCGGATCATTTTCACTCCAGTCACAACTCTATTTCTTACCCTTGTTCTATCCCAGGTTAGGCTGTGTCCTATAACCTTGCGAGATCTCAGTTTTCTCATTTGCAGAATTTACAAAATATATACACAGCTCCATGCTCTAATATTCTGACTTTGATCTTCATACTTTCAGTCTCTTCCATTTAGGAAAGCTATGTTTCTTAATACAGTGCTTCTTTTCTCCTATGTTGGCAAGAATGGAAAATTCCATACTCAGTATGCTGTTTCATCTCATATACAAGGTGTCTCCTCTCTCCTCACCTCAGGGGGCTCGAGGCAGGAATTGTCAGGAAGTGTTGAGTTCTAGCCACACCGCTCATGATTGAGCTAACATGTCACACCCAAATACACTTGGTCCTGGGAATGTGACTGTTATCAGGATATTTTAAAAACCAAAGTTTCTCAAACCTGGCGTGGTGGCACACGCCTGTAATCCCAGCACTCAGGAGGCTGAGGCAGGAGGATCGCTGTGACTTGAGACCAGCCTGGGCTACATAGTGAGTTCTAGGTCAGTCTCAACTACATAGTGAGACCCTCTCTCAAAAACAACAAAACAAAACAAAACAAAAAAAGCTTCTCTGCAAAAGGGAAGTGAGCTCAGCTCACCAACTAGGTAGTTTTTTGGGGGGAAAAAATGGACTTCCTCATTTTGTGTGTGTGTGTGTCCCTGAGTTTCCTTGCCATCTTTATGTCATTAAATGCGCTTAAGATAAAAACTATCCAACTTGTTCAAGATATGTACTTCCATAGCCTCAGAGACTGGTAGTTACCCAAAAGATCAGTTAATTGTCTCACTTTACAGTCAAGGAAATTGATACTCAGGAACACCAATTTGCCTGAAGGCACATGTTTGGTAATTCCGATTCCGAATAAGAACACAAGTCTCCTAAACTCCAGACATTTTCCCACTGTGAACTGTGTTGCACAGATCTGTTTTTGGTGTCTGCCCACACCACTAGTAAGGACTAGCAAATGTTCGCTTTCCAGTGTAAGGTGGAATGGATCAAACAAGGACCAGGAATCGCATTTCCTACCAGCACGACCTTGGGCAAGTCTCTTAAAAGCACCAACCTGCAGTTATTCTGTTTTGTTTTCTTTCTTGTTACTGTTTTCTGCCTAACACTAGAATTGTTGCTGAGACAAGTTTTATAGAACATTAATAATGTATCAATTTATTAAAGTCTACACACGAAGAACCTTAGAGATCTACTCTAACCCTTTCTGCTGTTTGTAAAGCCCAGTTGCTGAAATTTTTAATCCTTGTTTAATATTTACTTATTTGTGCAGTACTAGGGCTGAAATCAGGGCCTTGCACATGCTAGGAAAGCTCTGTACCACTGAGCACAGATTTTTGGGTCTCCTTTTTGCTTTAAGACACATTTACTCCACATCATGATCAGACTATTACATTTAGCAGTCAGTAGCATGGGTGCAAAGCAAAAGCAAAAACAAAAACAAAAACAAAAAAACTCCACTGCAGCCCTTCATTAAAAAATGCCTTACACTTTGCATACAGTAGAAATGAAAATAAATGCTATACATTCATAAGGAATATAGATCTTCAGGTTTTTTAACTATACATGTGAATACTGTCTAAAATATATCTTCCTTGTAATGATGAGACCATGCTATCACTGCACTTGTCTGAGTTGTCTCTTGTTTGTTTGTACCAGGAATTGAACTCAGGACTTGCAAGGCAGGCAGTGTCACCACTCAGCCAAATCCTTGGACCCTCTTGTTTATTTTTTAACAGCTAAATAATATTTAGTGCTCTTTTTTATTATAATGAAACACCTGAGACTAGATAACTTATAATAGACAGAGGTTAGCCTAGCTCATACTTTTGGACGATTAAGGGTACGAGCTCAACTCTGAAGAAAACCTCACAGAGGATGGGGCCCCAGTGGTGGGAAGCATGAGGAGGGAGAGACACCTGGTTCTTTCTGAACAACGCATCAACAGTGCATTTGGGATTCATGTGGGCTGGGGTTACCCCCTACTTCTGAAACAGTGACAACACACCTTAAACGTGCTGCTGGTAAATCTGGACCTGAGTGGCAGCTAGTGTTAAAACAGTGGGAGTTACTACAGGCTCAGAGAAACAAGCCTTCTTAGAAGGGTAGGAAAGACACATGCTACGCCAGGTTAGGAAGACTGGAAGAAATGCCCAGACAATGTCGTGTGCCAACAAGCACCAAGAGCTTTCAGGAGCTCATGACCTAGTATTCAAAACAGATTTCCAAAACTGGCCAGACAGTAATTAGTATGGCAGAACTCTCAGAGAATTTACAAGAGGTGGTTCAAGAAAAATCAATGAGCCTGGAAAAAACACAGAGAACTGGGGCTGGGGATTTGGCTCAGTGGGGGCTAGCATGCATAACACCTTGGTTCAATCCAAAATAATACAAGGGTGGGAGCACAGAGAAGCATTTCAATACTGTAATGAAGAAGCAGATGGAAGCAGCTTTTGGAAAAGTCAAACAAAAATTTTTCAGTTAAAAATACACTCAGTGAAATTAAAACACATTTGAAGGCATCAGTAGTAGGATATATCAGACAAAAGCAAGAATTAATGAGATCAAAGATAGGCTACTTGGAAATACATACAGGGAAGAGGAGTTGGGAATATAGATCAGTGATTGAGTGTTTGCCTAGCATGCACAAGAAAGCTCTCAGTTTGACCTCCAGCATCGCCCCCCACAAAAGGACTGAAGAAAGCTCATGAAAATTTGAGACAGCATTTCAATCACAAATATTTAGGCAAGTGGGGTTCAAGAAGAACTTAAGAGTGTCAAAGGGACGGGAAAGCTTACAGGATAACAGGTGTGGTGGTTCATGACTGTAATCCCAGCAGTGTGGGAGACTGAAGAAGGAGGATTTCAAGTTCAAGGTCAGTTTAAGCAATTTAGTGGCTTAGAGAGACCCTGTTTCAAAATAAAAAGTTTAATGTGGAAGAGCCTGGCTTTAACCCACACTACCACAAAGAGATTTAAAGTAGTGGCAAAAACTTCCCAAACCTAGAAAAGTATAAAAATATCCAGGTACGGGAAGGACAAGGTCACCAGTCAAGTTTAATTCAATCTGGCCCCAAGAGGCCTTATAATCAAGCTTTCAAAGGTGAAAGAAGGAGCACTTTCCCTCTCCCTCCCGCAGACACGAGATACTCAACCACCTACCCTCTATCTTTATGGAGTTTAGAGTGGTGGAGGGGAAAAAAAAAATTAATTAATTAAACAAATAAAAAAGAAGTATTTTTAAAAGGCTGGTGGAAAACTGGTGACAGTCTTTCACAGAAAGTGACTCTGACAGTTAATGTATTAATTTGATTGCATCACAGGCTGTTCTGCTACTTACACATCATTTCGGGGAAATCTGAGAGGGCGTCTTCAGACCAGGAGATCAGCACTGGAAATGGTGGGCTGAGTTGAGCAGATGGTGCTCTCTACTGTGGGGAGCCTCGGAAAAGCTGTGAGGCCCTGGATAGAAAGCAAAAGGAAAAGAAGGATGAATTAGCTCTGCCTGACTTCTTGAACATCAGGCGCCTGACTCAGTGTTTGTGGATCTCAGGTCTTCGGACCAGACTGCAATCTGTCCCACCAGCCATCCAGCCCTCAGGACTTCAAACTACACCACCAACGCTCCTGGACCCCCAGCATGCAGAAAGTTTACTGAAAGATTCTCAGCCTCCATAGTTGTGTGAAACACTATCTTATGCTAATGTCTTCCCAGATAGATAGATAGATGATTTCCGTTGGTTCTGCTTCTCCAGAGAACTCAGAGTAAGACAGTTAAACATAAGGTGCATTATATAAGGGAAAAAGTCAGCCATACAGGGAGCTAAATTCATGATCTCACAGACAGAGGAAGCAGCATGTACAAAAGCACAAAAAAAATGTGTGAGTTCTAGAAATGTAAAGGCCACTGTGACCAGAAAATGGTAAATGAGAGGTAAAATGGTATGTGTGAGAATGGAAGAGCTGCTGGGCCAGTGCCAGATGACATGAGCTGCAGGAAAGAATGGAGGGTTTGTTGTAAGGACTGTATGTGCACGGACGACTGGTTATCATTTATATTTTAAGACGACTATATTGTATCTTATGAATGAAAGAGTGATATCCCTATAGTCTGTTGTTTTGCTAGTTGTTACTAAAAATAGGATAAAGTACTCTTAATATTAAAGGGTTCAGTTTATTGTCCATCCAAACAATAATGCACAATTACTGGGCTTAAAACTACAGCATACTCTTCTCCCCGTGCTCCCGTGGGCTGCCAGCGCTCATTTGGGATCGCTCATGTGCTTGTAGTCCGCAGGTGCCCAGGGCTACTGAAAGCTCCACTGGGCTGGACGTCCAGGACAGCAGCCTCCACGACTGACAACAGAGGCTGCCTTTTGGCTGAGAGCTCAGCTCAGCTGTCAGCCCAAGCATCTGCCCAGCCCCTTCATCTGCCTTGGGCCGTTTTCATCATGGCAGCTGGGTTCTGAATCTCTCGGCCCAGTACTGCTGAAGCTAACCCAGGTTCAGTATGACAGGAATTACTTTACCTGTTAATGACAGGATACTCCTC